TCCGCTGTTTTTTTTCCCATCTTCTAACTCAGCAAGAAGTTGGAAAAAACAGACGCAGATAAACTTTATATATATATATATATAGGAGCTTAGAAGTATCCATAGGGGGAAACTAAAACAATGAAGTGGTTAAAAACACTTACTGCGGTAGTTTGCCGCGCTTTACAATAGGCATATTTCTTTTCTTTTTTTAATGGACTACGATTTCTCATACTTTGTTTTTGATGTGAAGTACTGTACGTATTTTAGTTGTTTGAAAGTTGTTCTTTCCCTGGGACTTGTTTATAATATACAACCATTGCAGGTTAGTACGGTTATCAAGACATCCAGAAAACACTGGATTGTTTTGTATTCCTTCCATTTCGAACTTCCAATTCAGTTTTATCTGATTTACAAACTTTCAAGTAGGAAGTCTTTAAATTATTTACCGGACAGTTTAAAAAGGAAAGTACAGTATATCTTTATAGGCCTACTTTTTCGTCAACTAAAAATTACAAAAGTATTATGGCGCCCTCTATTAAACGTGGACAAAAAAGAAACCTATTTTTGTCCTGGTGATCTGAATTCTCTTGCAAGTTTCTATAGGCATATCAACTTCAGAATGTTTACTGAAGTCGTTACATTAAAATTGCTCAGTGGCTTACCTAGGATTCTTGAAATGGGGAAGGGGGCTGATGGGGTCGCTGATTATGAGAGTCACTAGCTCGCAAAATAAGGTGATTCGAGTTGTTTTTTTCATTCGAGTGTGATTTTTTGACTTTCAACAATTTAGATGGGGGTGCGGGAATGTGACATTTTTTAGCTCCCAGTACCTAGATATAATTGCCAGTAACATAGAAATTGCCCTTGTACTAACAGCTACTGTATAATCTAAATGCCTGGTACAAGGTGAATTTTAATAAATATAAATTTGTCAGTGAATTGATTGATTATGTATCACATGACGAGCCAAAAATGCGCCTTCATTATGAAGTTGATACGTGAGCTATATAAATTATAATCATATTCCCATCCCCCCCCCCCCAAATGCAGAAAACAAATTCCTGGCTGCTTGTGAATGGAGAGTATGAAATACCAAGAGTCGATAAAGGAACAAATTTTATAGTTGAACACACACTTAGTAATTTATTACATACATATAATTTTGATAGTAACAACACAACAAATGTATAATACATTCAACAAATAGAGCACACATTTACACCCATCTTTAACATTTTTACTATCATATACCTCCCCCTAGGATTTCACACATGTAAATTCACATTTGTATTTTAATTGAAGATAGCTTGTCATTGGGCAATTTGAAGACTTTAATAACATTATGTTTATACCTGAATTAGATTTTTAAAGAAGTAAATATTTATATAACACTACTCATATAAGAATTATGAACTAATCTTATGAAAATAACTGACCTACTTAATAATGTAACTACTGAAGCTATGTACAGCATTTCATTGACTGTTTTAATTGAAGGATAGATATGTAAGTGAAACCAGACCTAATACAGCCTGAGACACATCATACTGTATTTCATAAGGCCAAAAAAAAATAAAAAAATAAAGGTTTCTTGTCCATTAAGCTAAGCGCTCATGTTGCACATCTCACAGTTGCCAGCAGCCAACTGATGTCAGTTTAACTGTTAAGTCAAGTCGCAATGGCGGTTAAGCTTTAGCTTTATGTTACATGGAGAAGACAAGGTTCCCTTGTTTTGCCTCACACAGCGAGTCATGAAGCTTGGAATATAGCAATTTTGCATGCTACACCGACACCAATCATCACTGTTGATTTTCAGTGTGAACCACTTGTACATAAAGCTGAACTTGTCTTATCAACACTTTAAAACAGCCCCTTCCCCCCCCCCAAATAGATATGGGAGGGGGGGGGCAAGGAACATTTAGTCAATTTAGCCTAAAAATCTATTCACACTATTAATTTTTATGTGACAAATACCTGTGTTTTACCCATATTGTCAACTGAAATATACCCATAAGGAACGCTCTCATTATACTGTATTATCATCAGTGGGTATGTATCATCATATATGAGGCTTCTTCCCAAAAACACTATCAGTGACCAAAAAATGAAAATTGACTTTTTAATATTCATACTCTCCACATTATGAACTTTAAAAATGATGGGTCATTTACTGGAATCGACTTACTATTGCCAAAGTGAATAAAAGTATTACGGCTTCTGTGTACTGAAGTATACAATACTGTTACATTCAAATATGCTAATTACTCTCTTTAACATTTAGAGACAGAATGCTGGTTTTGGGATGGCAAGCCTAATATGGGTATGGCATGATATCATCAAAGCAATGATACTTATGACATAAAAATTGACAGAGCTTATAATGAACAGAATGCAAAAAGGAACCTATAACATAAACTACCAATCAGCACATTTTCATGTTTTAGTAAGTGCCATTATTATTTCCTTTAGAGAATGAAAATGTCATAAATCAATTACCAATCACATACAACATGGCATATAAATTCCAAAGTTATTCTGTGAAAATGTGAACCTATTACTTTGAGTGACATTGAAAACAAGGGATTGCAAAACATAGTATCAAGGTGGGTAAATCATTTTAGTAAAATCATGCAGCTTTTTAGAAAATATATTGAGTGGCAATATTAATGATTCATGTTTTAATATCTGCTTGTACAGTATTACACATGAAAACAACTACAATAATGAACATAGTATGTAATAATAGAAGTAGAAATATTCTACAGTAACAACATACAAATAGCAATGAAAGTAACTATAATAAAAATATAATTTTGGAATTTCAAAATATAGATGGGGAAAAATGTTTTCCAGGTTCCCCCTCCCTAATGAGATTTAAAAAAATTAGGGACCTCTGGATGGCCCGTAATGGCACTCGGCCGAGGATTTTGTGGCGTCTATAATAAATCTGGAAATGGCCATTTCCAGTTCTATCCCGAATGGGTGTTAAACGTTGACCGCCTGCTGATGTCCGCTGATAATGCAACGCTGCAAAGTGCAATGTTTTGGAGGAACAAAAGCAGTATGCATTAGCAGCAGGCAGCATTTTTTATCACTTAATCCCCTTTGATTGTTTCAATATGCGCCACAAGGCAGAAGTAAAGTCTGTTTAAATTTTCATGGTCCCTGCTATTACAGTTTATTTCCAAAAACAAAACTTAAAAGTTCGATAGAATAAATTATTTCAACTGAGGGCTAGCATAGAATCCAGATTGTCAATACATAGTCCTCCACATGCATATTATTGTGGCACCACAGCTTATTTGTTTAACAGTGGTAGTATTTTTCTGTTTTTAAACTACAATTGTCAAATGAATATTGTCATATGAATAAAGTTGGTTTATGGTTTATATGCCCAAAATGTACATCTGCGATTTATTGGGAGTTTGCAATGTATACTTTATTATTGTTGTAGTTCTTCAGTAAATTTCATTACTTGGTTTTGAGACAACAACATTATGCAGTGGACCAAAGTCAATGTCTGTTTCTTAATTGGGGTGGGGTGACACCATGGTCCAGGGAAACTTGGTAGAAACTCATTACTGTATTTGCATAATACCTTAGGTTTTACCGGTAAGTAGAACCCTATATAAATTTTTCCCATTCTCGCCCCAACACACCCTCAGTCTCAGACTTGAAAAATACTTTTGAAGTTGATAAAATACAATTCTACTATACCCTCAAACTCAACTCAACTCAAATAAACAATCATTTCATTTCAATAGGCCTATTTTTTTTTTTAGTCCGACTGCCCGACGAGCTCCTGTCTCTTATACACATCTAGATGTGTATAAGAGACAGGCTCTATTCTGAGAGAAGAAACATTTCGTCTTCGATCTTGGAATGAACAGGAGTGGAGTCTTCACCTGTAATTAGTCAAAAGCAAGCTGCTGTTCAACTCAACTGAATTATTAATATTATATAAAGGAACATTGGAATGATGGTATGGCATCAAAATATTCAAGGTATCTGAATAGTAGAAGATTCTACCTTCAAATTATTACATTACATTTCACATGCTGGAGACATAATGTTTTTGTGATTGTGATAGTACACGCAACTCCCTATCCATTTCCTGCTCACTCAGATTATAGCTGTAGCTTGTTGCTATATTTTAATTTATATATACTGTATATATATATATATATATATATCGGCATTCTGATTTGATATGCATATAGAGCATACAAAACATATACTGGTATGATGTGCTAGGCTAATGATTTCAGGTCACCAGGAAATTAACTCTGTTGTATTTAAAAATAGACCATTATATTATATGATAAATATTATTCTAAAAGGTGGGGTTTACAATGCACTTTAATATATTTCAACTAGCAGATCAATTTTAAATTCAAGGCATACAATCAATAATGAGGATTATAATTGAGGAAATTCAAAATAGAAGCAGACAGCACGTAATGGACAAACAAATAATTATTTTGAAGGATAAAATGGTCTTCAATTTTCTTTCCCCCAAGGCAACAAATGAAAAGACTCAATTAAAATTACAAAGACAATACCACTAAGCTTTAGGTTTCTTATTTACAATAATATTCACAATTTACAATGCAGAAATACAGTCTGCCATATAATCAACTTTTCATTAATTTCTTTTTTTTTTTTGTTAGGATAGTGAGTGAAACTTCTTTTATTTTTAAAGAAGTTATGATGATAAAACTTCATCTTTAAAAACATCTTGTATATTAGTTAATATTTCATTATTAGTATCATTTAAAATCTGTGATTTTGTGACATCAAAGTCATAGATTTCATTCTCTTGTGAAGTGCTAAGCGTTTGGGTCAATTCCCTGAGTAGAGGGTTGCTCTCTGTCAGTTTTGGAGTCCCGTCTGGCAGGGGAGTTGTCTCCTGTTCGTTCAGTGGGCTGGTCGTCTTGGTTGGTGTGGTTGTCTTTGGTGGTGGGGTCGGCGTCTTCTGGAGAGTGGTTTTCAGGGGTGGTGGGGTCGGATTTTGTGACATCAAAGTCATAGATTTCATTCTCTTGTGAAGTGCTAAGCGTTTGGGTCAATTCCCTGAGTAGAGGGTTGCTCTCTGTCAGTTTTGGAGTCCCGTCTGGCAGGGGAGTTGTCTCCTGTTCGTTCAGTGGGCTGGTCGTCTTGGTTGGTGTGGTTGTCTTTGGTGGTGGGGTCGGCGTCTTCTGGAGAGTGGTTTTCAGGGGTGGTGGGGTCGGCGTTTTCTGGAGAGTGGTTTTCAGGGGTGGTGGGGTCGGCGTTTTCTGGATAGTGGTTTTGAGGGGTGGTGGGGTCAGTGTGGAACTGTTTCTTGGCAGCGTCTTGGTTTGGACTGGAGATGTTGGAGGCTCTGGATTCGTTGAAGGTCTCCCTGCCAAACTTGTTTGATTGGGCGGTGTCTTTCTCTCTGTGGCTTTCTCCATCGGTGGACTGTTGGGCGTTTCCTGAATTGTTGTTGGTGTTGAATTCTTCGATTTCATCTGCTGGAGCTTCATCATTACCTAAAGAAAGAAAAAAAAACAACATATATGAAATAGTATTAGAGCTCGAATTAGTATTATTTTAATGACAGCTGAAATTCAAAACGCATCCTAAAAAGACACAAGCCTGGTTCTCACGAGAGCCCTAGTATCCGGATCGGGAGCTAACGTGAGAACGCCCGATCGGTTAGCGCTAACCGTTAGCTGTATCCGGATACCGCTAACGGTTAGCAAGCGCTATCGGTTAGCAAGTTGAGCGCGTTTTTATCATTAACCAATCACATGTACGCATTTACAATATCCAGTTTCTTATTGGCCAGTCATTCGATCATCATATTTTTGGTATCCGGATCGGGATTTTCTCGTATGGACGCACGGCAGCTAACTGTTAGCAGGATCCGGATCTTGCTAACTGTTAGCAGCCGTGTGAGAACATAGCCTAAGTAGTAGAGTACTAGAGATTCAAAATGATGACCTCTCTTAAACAATCCACAAAAAAAAAAAAAAACTTACATAGAGAACATTAACCTGAGAAACAAAGCAAAATTGAAATAATACTTTTCATCACGAACTAGTAGGGCAGAAAAATTTACAACAAAATAAAAACATGTTCAAGGTAATCACTAAATGTTTAGTGGAACTGAGACTTTTTGTAAGATTATGTAGAATTTAATAAAGTATATTTTTGGTTTACTTTATTTTAAATGCCTCAGTGTATCATCAAATAGGGATTAAATTGCACTTTTTAGAAACACATCCAGATAATCCATTAAAGTTGAAAGATCTTTTTCCAGTGGGGTGCTTCTGGCGGGGAAATGACCAGGAGACAATCACTTGCTCTTTTTTTTAGAAAAGTAAATGGCCGTTTTTAAAGTACACTTTAAAGACTAAACTTCAAAGGACATCACACAAAACCAACGGATACACATCTGATTCGAAAGATGGTACGCAGTGGCGGCTCTAGTGTATATTTTCTGGGGGGAGGGGGCTGAGCTGTCTGACAGGGGGACTTGAGCTCATAGGCAAAAGCTGGGGGAAGGGTTTTAGAGGGTGTTCCCCTCCCAAATGAGATTTTTTAAAGGAGAGGAACCTCTGGATTGCCAGAAATGACATTCTCAGATTGTGACAGGCATGTGTTGGCTTGGCGTGGGCCTATTTTTATATTTTTTTTTTAGTCCGACTGCCCGACGAGCTCTCTCCGATTGGGGGGGGGGCTTAAGCCCCTGCTGTCCCCCGCTGGCACTGCGACTGATGGTATTTGCAAGCTGAAACACAAGAAGAGCAGCAATGGATTTGAAACACTAGGGATCAAACACGTCTTACAAGATAATTTTATTTTCAAATAAACTAACAGAGAAAAAAAAATAATTTGACAGTAAATATAATAAACTACATAAATATTGAACACAAAAAACAAGCACCACAGCGAAGATGACAGATGATATGAGTAGTTTAGCTGTCTAAGCGAAGCTGCTTTCTTATATATAGCGGATGAATCAGCTAACTTGATACAGCAACCAGGCCAAAAATGCACCATACGATGGAATGTACACATGTGCAAGGGAAAAGAATCACTATTTACGCACAATTTAATGTTAATGCAACAAGGATGTATACTGTATTGAGATACAACCTTTATAAGAATATAACATTTAAAAAACGAGAATGGTTAATGCAACAAGTTCGTTAGTAATTGTTAGTCTACCTTGCTTGCTATATTCTTAAAATTATGTAAAGTGTTTCATCGTCATATAAGTACACATTAATAGCTTGTGCAACATTCAAAAACATTAAATTAAGTTTCAACATCACATTTCTAAGTCAAAGGTCAAGGAATATATATACAAATTATCCAGCCAATCACAGAGCATATTTATTATGAACATTTTATTTTTGATCAACCAAATATATTATGGTTGATCAAAAATAAACTTATTATTTATTTTAAGAAAACCAGATGAAAACAATTTTGGTTGATGAAAAAGAAATTTAATATTCATACATAGGACAAACACAATCAAGTGAAATTCTTCTATTAATATTTATTGTTTGTGACCATACATGTTGTGTAACCAGCGTGGAATATCTGTTTATACACTTTGACATTATAATAATGAGATAGCTTACACTGTTATAATTTGAGGTGTCATGACAAAATGAGTCTTGTATGCCAGGTCAATATGATATACAGGTAATCAAGAAAGTTATATTTTGACAAAAAAATCATTGAATCATACACCTAAATGCCTTGTTATTTAAACCAAGGACATTTAACAGTTAAAAGTCATTGTTCAAACTATTTGGTTGTGAGCCAATTAAGGTCGCCAACAAAGTTGCTGGACATTATATGAAATAAAATATTTTTACACTTGAGGCTTGTTATACAGTATGTCAATTATATGATAAGATTTCCCATTTTAGCAAAAATCCAGGTGTTAACTTTCGTTTGGCGTTCAACACCGGCAAGTGGTGAATAATAATTTGGGTGACCCTAAATTTGATTATGTCAGTGCATTTCAAAATCCTAAATTGTTTGAGCTTTCGAGGCCTGTCCACACAACCATCACCGACATTGGCCCCCGTCAAGCAAATCTGGGCGCAATCATGGGCTGAATGTTAAAGTATCATTGAAAAGTGCTGCAATTAAGTTGAGTGTTGTTTTTCCTACTATTTTACATCTCCACCTGTTGCTCCTTACTAAACAGTAATGTGTAAGGACTCTGAAGTATAATTTAGCATCAAACATAATACATTTTTAAATGTTAGTTGTTTACAACGAATCCAGCTCTTTAACTGGTCGCAATATAATAACATACTGCATTAAGAATTTCATTCCTTCTCTGATAATAATATATAGCGACTGACCCTTTAACCATTTAGACGTTTAATAACAAATTTTAAGAAAAAGTTATTTGACGAATGGTGGGTCGATGAAGGTAGCCATATCAAAAGGTTTGAATACCAGGGCTCTAAAGATGTTTTCAGACATTTGAAAATGATATTGCTTTGGTTATACTCAACCAAGAAAATAATAGCTTATAATGTCATCTATCTGTTTATTAATAACTCATTTTTCATGTTTGGTACCACAAGACTCATTATGTCACGACACCTCAAATATTTGGGATGTGTTACTATGGAAACTTACCGTAATCCTTCTCTGTCAATAAAGTAGGCTAAGTGCATGCAAACAAAAGAAGAAAGATGAAGTTGAGATGAAATAAAGAACTATAAATAATGGTTTTAACAAAAGATGTAATATGATAGCTGTTAATAGTATCTGTACTACCATTTAAAATTAAATGAGCATATACTATAATAGTTCAACAAGGGAGTTGTTATAGTGACTAAAGGTAAAACAGTTTCATGCATGTGCAATCTATTATTACTTCAATCAAGAATTTTTTTTATACCTTGAACTCTATTTCATGAGGGCAGAAAAAATGAATTTTTTTTTTCTCATGTTGAAAAAAAAATCTTTATTATCAGGAAGGAATATAGAATGACTTGTTTGTTCATTATTTTAAATTTTTATATTTTTTCCAGGCATGATCCATGGTCTGAGTACTGTCAGAGTCTTAATAAAAGCCAGGAAGGCTCGGAACAAATATATTACCATTACTAATACAGATTTTGTACTGAGGGATTTTAAGGTGGTGGCAGGCATGATAATCACTTGCGTTTAACGACCGTTTCCACAAGTGCGTTGGTTGGCTGGGATGTTATGGATGGCAGCTCCCCATTGGTACTTTTGAGTGTCTCTTTTAATTCCCCCTCTATAACTACATTCTATGTTTTCTGTGGTTGACCGGTACTTTTACTTCTCACAAAATTCACATTTTAACACTTCCTGGCTAGTCTTCCACATGGTAAAAATAAATAAATATATTTATTTTTACAATAGCAGGAGCACTAACCATTTTTATTTGAAATAATCAAGTGTCTGCGTTGAGAATCAAGGTATAGAAAAGTCTTGCTTTGGAAACTAGGTCATTGTTACTACATAAACTTACCACTCACGACACACTCATTATTTCAACTGAAATAAAATTATATTTAAGATAGTGGTTGAGCGACTTGTCATGAAAATATGCAAAGTTAATGTCTGTATTAAGGCAGTATGGTTGATAACCAAGTGGCATATGGTTTGGAAATCGGTTTTTGATATCCTACTAAATCATGTGATACCAATCTTAATTATACAATTTAAAATATGTATCATCATTTTTAATTTATACAATAAATTGGAAAAGCTTTTTATATTGTAATCCAGATTAAAATTCATCTGTATTAATTATACTCAAATCTTTAATTTAAGACTAAGTGTCAAATGCATTTATGGCTTCTTTGGAAACCCCTTTTTACTATAATTTCATTCATTTGGCAGTCAGCACAAAATGATTAATAAGAACCATGGGATTGGTAAAAGTGGTTAACCTAGAAGGCTGAGTGCCTGCTTGCTGTGTTGAAATGCAAGTTTATATTTGCAATTATGATACAATGATATGAATAACCAACTCAGATTAATAAAATGTAAATCCACTATTAATTGTACTTTCCAAATGTATTTCCAATAATTATTTTCATACATTGTACCAAGGGCATTCATTCTTCATAATATTACTGTATCATACATGTTCAGGTGAATGACTATTCTATGCATCGTTATACATGTTCAAGGGCATGGGAGGGTTTATTTGTTAATAATTCACACTAACTTGTAAATGGCTTGCACATGCTTCTATATAAGGTACAAGATGACATGATCATGTGATGTGATCATGTGATAGGTGAGAAGCATGACAATGTAATATGAGTGATGATGTTCATGTGCATTACCTCATCTTTTGGTGAGTGACGATTTGGACTGTTCTCTTCAGGATAATCATCACGAATCGTATCATCCAATTTCGATGACAACTGCTGGTGGTTATTGGGAGGAGATTTACGTCTTGGCGAGTCATTGGCAAACGGTACCGGTGACTTCTCCCTTTCTGGCGACTTTGATTCTTGATTTGTTGGCAGGTCCTCTCCACCTATGTCTTCGTCAACTTCTTCAGCTGCAATTTGATCAATTGGAAGATCAACTGCTGTCTCTTTCGTGTCTGCAACTTCCCTTGCACCTTCAGTCTCCGAGTTTTCTTCCTTAGCCTTGAAAACTGCATTAGGATCTATAAACAAGACAAAAGACAAACTGTATTATTTTTTATTAAACCGAAACTGTTAAGAATGATTCTTTTTTTTAAATTTAATTAATAAGCATGATTACGTAGTTAGTATGGTAACAATGAATTTACTACAACCACTAAACTTCATGAAGAAGAATATGAGTAATAATAGCCTTCCCAAAGCTCTGCTCTTTGGAGAGGCAAATAAAGACAGGAAGTGATCACAGGATAAATTTAACAGGAACTGATCACATACTAAAAAATACTAGACTGTTGGCAATTTGGTCTAACTGTAGGTACAGTATAGTATCACAGTCATACTAAGCGTTCTAAGCTGCCTATCAACTGCAACTATGAAATTAATTACAAAAACTAATGGAGGGATCGACTGAATGAAACCGCCCTGGGATGTAACTATAGGCACTCATGTTATTCTAAATATTCTCACAACAAATAGTTGTTTTAACAAGGGGTAATTAAACTTGACAGGCATGGAAGAATACATCGAGATATGCTGAAAAAAAAAATCCATTGCCCTCCAGCACCTACTGAATGATACAAGATAATTACAGGAAAGTACATACTTCATCCTAATAAGAATAAGAATATTTTATTTGTTCTGTGGAACAGCTAATGCAATAAAGTTTTTTTGTCTCTATTTACATCTAACAGAAAGTACACTCTCCAATTACAGAATGGAATTTCTTGATGATGCTTTAAAAGAAATCCCTTGTGTCGCCAGATTTGAACCCAAGACCTTTGGATTGGAAGGTGAGCATCTTAACCAAAGATTCTAGAAACACAAGACAGAACTCTCCACAACAAAAAACTGTAATACCAAAATGCTAACGTTTGTTTATCCCAGCTGTGGATAAACTTATGCATTGCGGTAAATCGTCATCTAATTTTTATTTTTATAGGAAAAGAGAAGGGCATAACATTCGTCAGGGATGCATAAAAGCTATGACGTATTTCCGCTTCGCTATGTTATGCATGAATTCTATCTTGTTCTATTCTTCCTAGCATCTTTGATCAAGAAGCTACAGTTTTGTCTCCAGCATTTATATCATTAGACCCATCAAGTATTTTAACGATAACCTTCAATATAAAAATGTTTAAAGGTAATTACTGTATGCCTCATTACCTAAAATTCTATTTAAAATAATAATTTCATAACTGACTGAATGCTGCAAATGTAGGACCAACAGCTAAAATGTCTCACTTGAAAGACAGTGTGCTATTGAATGTTGTTCATCAGAAACACACACAGAGAGCAGTAATATTTGAACTAAGTAATCTTCAATATAAAAATACTGGATGCTAATGAGGATAACCTTCAATATAATAATGTTTAAAAGGTAATTATTCCTGATTACCTTAAATCCTATTTAAAATAATCCTTTCATAATTAACTGAATATTGCAAACGTAGGACCAATAACTAAAACGTCTCACTTGAAAGACAATGTGCTATTGCAAAGTTGTTTAGCAGAAACACAAGGAGATCAGTAATATATTTGAACTAGGGACCAATCGCCTAAAAGGATGTCAACACAAAAACAATGGATGCTAATTATTAATGTAATCATTAATTTATATTCACCATCATCATAATTGAGATGCTGGTCCTTTTCCCTGCTTCGTTTAACTGTCGTGGGTTTGTGGTGGAATACGCTATCAGCTTCTTTCTGTTCTGGTGACTTTTCCACACGCTTCTTCTTTTTCTTTTCCGGTTTTTCTTTTTTGACGGGTGAAGGTTTGGTTTTTGCAGGAGGGGAAGACTACAAATAGAATTATGAGTTTAAAAAATTATGAAACTTTGACAGTGAAATAATAAATTCAGTTGTGTTTATGGTTCATATATTAATTTTTCTTAATATTACACTAATACCTTTCATTTGAAGGTTAGAGCAAAGAAAATATTTCATTGCCAATGGACAATGCATAATACCGTGCCTAATATTCGCTGTGTAGGCCCTTGGCTGATGATCAGTTTAAAAATTTTCTTAGTGAAGTCTGTAAACTGACTTATTTTGATATATGATATTATAGATTGGAAGCTATTAATTTATTTGATTCTTTAAAATAATAAATTAATTTGTACACAGACAGCATCCTTTATGAGAAAGGTGTGAATATGATTAAATTGACTTGTATTTGATTTCACATTACAGTCACTCAGCTATTCTTATGTGTGTACATATCTGCTGTATGCAGAGTAACTGTATCGCATTTACACATCATTTTGAATCCACGTAAAGACCTCAGTTACATGTACGACTATTAGAACTCACTGTGTACTTATGCTAATGACATCTGTGGTACAGAACGACCTTAACAAATGCACTTGTGCACGCAGAAGCCTCAACAATACATTGTACTCATTCGTTTGATCAAACTACTTGAATCCATGTAAACATACTTAATTACCTTTTGTGGAGGAGGCTTTGCTTTGATAGGTGGCAGGGGTCTAAAAATACAAACAAAATTAATTACATCTGAGCACATTCACGATTGATAATTAAGACACAATTGACATTGATTATTGTGCATAAACACCACATGTGATATTAGGTGTTATATATAGTATATCACACTGCATCTTTGAATCTGTATTGTATATCACAGCTACAGTACTACCATGGAGAAAATAAAATAGATTTTTTTTTTTTCCTATTTTATTTTCTCCATGGTACTACATACATGAAAACAAAACAGTTAGTACTTGAATGATGTAATAAAAATTGACATGAAGCACTAAACTAAGGGGTGCAAACCTGAGTGGGTAGCCATATCACACTAGCTGGGACCATGGAGCTAGTGCCTAGGCCCCTGTTCGAAGCAGGGGTAAAATGTTTAGACTTGAAATTTGGATTTTCTTTATCAATACCATCATCTTTGAAATTATTATTCTTATCCACAATGATAAAATTATACAAATTTGGATGAGATCAAATGCTTGATAAAGACAGTTGGATTAATATATTATATTTCAGTGCCATTCATAAATTTTTGTTTAAATCCTTATGCCAAATTACAGCATATCAAGTTATATTAATTTATCTCCTTAAATAAAGGTAGGAGAATACCGAATAGCTCGCAGCGTCATTTTAAAATCCTTATATGAGAAGACTTGGTTCTACCAACAGAACCCTATGAGAGAAGCAGTTCGAACCAGCGCCGATGTTAAAGCTGTAGTTAGAGGTGCCCCTGCCTGACCGCTTGACCACTTGAATGCTACCTGAATGCACTTACTTCTTCTTGACATGTCTTGGTGATAATACAGCCGAAGGCTCCCATTGGCCGTATGCAACCTTTTTGAACCGTTCCCCACCTGCTGCTACGTATTTACTTTCCGTCTCGATTTGAGAGCATTCTGAAACTCGCTCACCGTTCATCTTGTATAGCCTACAGAAGTTGCAGTAAAGCAAAATTAATGATAATCATCATAGCTTAAAATTATTTAAAAGAAACCAAAATAGCGTTTAATGAAATATATATCTGAGATACAATGCATTCTAACCTTCTAATTGCAAGTCCGTTTAACAAGTTAACTCTGCTGTTTATCTCTGTCAAGACAGTCTCAAAGTTCTGTAACACTCTGTACCTCAGTAACATCCTAAGAGGTAACTCTTTATCATCGCCATTTCTGTACACACTAGAGATGGGTGATGAGAAGGGAAATAAACAAAAATGTTATTACATAAAAAAATTAAAATATGGTTCAAATATCTTACTATCATGATTTGAGTACAATTCCTATGAATTTATCAACATAGCAGCTTAACAGACAGCTGTAGTCAGTGTCGGTGCCAAGGATTCCCCAACCAGCCGGGGTCGACACATACCTCAACCCCACCATACAATACGCGGAAACAGCAGTCTATGACTGTCAAAATTGTAAGATAAATACTATTTTGATGATTAATTAAATACTGGGCGTACTGACATCTGGATGCTGGGCAAAAATAATTTCCATCATTCAATCAAACAAGGTATAAGATATTGTTATTATTATAAGAAATATTATTTATTATAATCTCTGATTCAATGTGGAGGTCTCTTACTATATAGTTTTTGTTCCCACGGGAACATGGCGAATTCTAGCTGACCGGCGTATTCTACTATGAGTAACGGGATGTATAGCCTGCAAAAAAAAAATAAATAAAAAAATAATATTTGATAAAAAAACCTTTTAAAATATTTCATGGATAAAACATCATGTACTGTAATAATAAATAAAGTAAAATATTTGGTCTAAAGAAACATTAATTAGAAAGTCTAAATAAAATTCTTCCAAGTATTAATTAGAATACTTGGATACTTTATATCAACATTTTATATAAACAGATTCTAACATAATATTTACAATAAAAACAAATTATGAATATGAGTGAGTACGGTGGCAATGGGGATGATCGCAAAGAAAACAATAACAACAATAATAGAAATATGGTTCAACAGAATATAGGACACCTTCTATGTGCTTAGCAGAAAAAACATTAAATGAAAAAAAGGCTTAAATTAACATGTACAATACTCTAAAAGTAATAGCTTACTGTATTCTCAGAGCTGGCCATATGCATTTACATAATATATTCATTGATTTAAACCTGAAAATTTATAATATTTCTTTTGTGTTGTGACCTCAAGTATCTGGTGTAATTATAAAATACTTTCCCTGCACAAATTCAAATTTTAATAAGACAGATATAGAAACAGTGGACATCATTTTTTATGGTGAATTAACTAAAAACATTGCTAATAATATACCACCTCACAAATATCACTAAAATTACTCGGCCAACACTACAGTAGTATTTCATTATTATTTCAGAAGCTAAAAAATGCTGACTTATTTAATACCTGATTATTCAGTCTATTATCTTGTTTTGATTATTAGTAGATATATCATCACTCACACCACGGACTAACACAATCAAAATAGATTAGTGTTTAGTTTGTGAAAATAAAATGTAAGCGTACAGTATCAAAACAAGCGTGTATTGGTTGTCAAGCACTTTTGTATTCTTTACCAGAAAAAAGCTGTAACAAAAACAGTGCATATTTTAACACGTTTTTTTTGTTGTCACAAACAAACACAATCTACTTTAATTTTGTTACTTTGTGATATGAACGATGATATGTCAAGAGTACATCTTTATAAAAAGGACACTGTTGACACATTATTAATAAGCACCTTCTAATAAATAATTGATTTGGAGCACTGTATATAATTGTATTCATTTTGATGGTTGTTAGCACGTATATGCTTAAGTCAGTGAGTGAGTATAATATTAAATAGCACATAAATAATTTTGAAAAGTACAGCTGAAGGAAGAGAAGAAAATTCAATTGAAAAGACAAAGAATTGAAAACTGGAGAATTCTGACTGTGCAATTGGCTAAATTGTATTCACCATTTTTTTTTACTGATAGCATTACCAACACTTGTGTCCAGATATAATCATTCTGACAATACATTCATTATTTTTTTAAGAATAGATTCATTATTTTTTTTAAGAATAGTTGCAAATTGACACTGTAGATTTATCATAACTTTCTTATCATAAAAATATTCGTTTCTTGTTTTAGCAACTAATCTATTTATTCACACTTTTTACATTTAAACATTTTACTTTTCCATAAAGAAAATTAATTGAAAACAAACCACATTTTTTTTAATTAATTAATTTTTTTTTTCAAAATAATAAATGATAGTAAGTATAATGTGGCACTTAGTAGATGGTGATGTCCTTAACAACAGCAACTGTCATAATTAATAATCATATCATTTGTGTTGCTTCGTGAATAATTTAAACAGGATTAAAATTAAAGTAGGTGAATCAGATCAGCTCATTGGTTAATGGTGTTTTGTTTCTTAAGACTGGCAAATCAATACTCAGCAATACCAACACTGCAACCGTGCCATTCAACAATGCACAGCTTCTATAGATTAAAGCATAGCCCTCAATAATGCAGTTATGGAGTTCTAGAATACAGTACTATACATGAAAATGTACAAATATGCCTAGTATACATGATAGGGGTGCAAGTAGGGAAAGGGCCACCCAGAACCTCCCAGAGGGTCCAGGGGTAAAAAACCCAAAAGCAATGACAATTTAGTTACTTCAAAGTCTTATTTTATTGATTTTAGAATCTACAAATTACAGATAGTGGGAGAGGGGAAAACAACAGGTTCCCCTACGGGTACTTAACAGTGATAGAAATGTTGCAACCTGTAATAGTTTTTAATTCATAAATTCCCATGTTAACAAGCAAACATTAACGATTAAACGTTGACCTGAAGTGGTTGTTTACTTCCTCTGACAGGCAAATACTACTTAAGGCAGCTTACATGTCCTTTTGTTACGTGCATGACTTACTTAAAAGTTAGGTGTAATTAAGATTTAATGAAGAAGTATGCGGATATAAAAGCTAAAAGCCAGTGGGTGTCTTGGTCAAGTGGCTTGTACTCTGTTCTTATTCAAATGCGTAGAATTCCAAACCTTCTTTTATGGGAAGACATAAAGGACATGGCTTCCATATGGGATTGGAAAATAAAGCATCTTAACCTTCAAGTCAGCTCTGTAGATCCTACTGGTCCTACAGTAGTCTACAGTACAAAGTTTCCCTGCATTGTTTTCATTTTGAATGATTTTGTTATCCTACAGTAACATATTGTTTTTGTGACCACATACACCCCCAACAAAATTGGCTGGTTTAAATGAGATTCAAAGAAAAATGTAACTGATCATTAAAAAAATGATCAGTTACATTTTTTAATAAGCGAAAATGGGCGACTGTATAACATTATATTATTAATATTGATTCATAACTTTAGAAAATGATACCCAAGAAGTATTTTCTTATTGTCAAAATGGACCACAATACCTTCATAATTTGCATAATCAACATCATCAATACATATTCTCATAATTATTTACAACAGCATCTTCACCATTACCATTTTGCTGGTCTTATGTGACTGTAACTCGCCCCAAACCATTTGAATGGAAAAATCCACACCTTCGTACATTGTACAGTACATACAATTTAATATAGTCTATATCTTAAAACTGGTTATAGAATGTTTATTTAGGAAAATATAATATTTTTATACTATTGCTTTATGTTCAGATTGTATATCAATAGTCATTTAATTTTAATGATATTAAATTCACTAAAGGCCACATAACAAATTGATTTGTTATTTAAAAAAAAAATTGTTTCATCAATTTGTTCATTCCATTTTAATTTTTTAAAGTGATATAAAAATGTAAACCTTTCAAATATTATTTCTTTTCAAAAAATGTTGATATGCCTTACTTATTATTTTATTAACAATTGCTTGTTAGCAAATAAAACAATGCAAAACAATATACAACCAACAATGACCACTTTTCTATGGACTTGGTCATTAAGAATGTCATTTACATATAATCAGTGTTTCAAAAATGTATATAGTTCAATGTACAGTATTACTAAATGTACCCGAATCAGATAAGATTTTTTTTTTTCCAGACAGTATACTACAAATCTGTGAACATTCACAAAATCATCAAATAACCTGGCCACATTTGAGCGCTGAAGTAATCATTATTCGGTGGCTAGGCAACTAGATACTCTCACCTGCTACGGCTACCTTATTGACAGAATCCATTTGGATGTTTATTTAATCTAACTAGTGAGCAATATTTGAACCAGCTGCCATTTTCTGGGTAAACATGCTTCTTTAGAGATTCAAAGCAACTAATTGGTGTTAACCCTAGATATTTAATGCAATCATAGATATTCATGTTGACAAAGTCACAAATGGAAAGTAATACTTGATCTGTCGACTTAATAAATTAGTGGTTTAACAGGAAAGAAATCTCATGTGTTTAACAAGTGCTTGTATTATTTAGTGGCTTAGGTAAATAAAGTGGAGGCAAAATTATCATTTAAAATGCAAGGGGGCGGGGGAGGGATGAGAAAGGTATAATTAAAGCCAACTTTTGGATTGGTCAATGTTTACTACCAAAGTACATACAACAAAAACTTCATACAAATCTCTGATATTTTCAAAAAAAAAAGAAAGAAAAAAAGAAGAATTATACGAGCACAAGACACTTTTTTTTACAAAACATCGAGGGTGAATCTGCTTAAAAATTAAGAACAAATTGAGGCTGAGGTATAATGTCAAATGAATTTTTCATTTATTTAAATAAGAAAACCAACATATCTTATCTGTACCCTTTTGTAGGTGTGACAATGATACCGTAATATACTGCTGTAAATAATAATTTTCTAAGCTTGAAAACATTTTGAACCTGAAATCAGAACCTGTAAAACAAGAAAACAGAGCCTATGGGCAAAATAAGTATAGCACTAGTAAACATACCCAAACATACCCAAAACATGCATGTTTGTGGCAGGTACACTTTTGCGAGTTGAGTGGCCGAGCGGTAAGGCAGGGGCGCCGCTAGCTAAAGCCTCAACGTCGACGCTGGTTCCAGTCACTCCTCGCCCATGGTTCGATTGGTAGAACCAAGTCTTCTCGGATAAAGACTTAAAATGGAGGTCCAGTGTATACATCTGGCTCATGTGCAATTTAAAGAACCCATTGCATCTTTCGGAAGAGTAGGAGCTTACCCCAATTTTATGGTTCATTTCAGCCCCTGTCGTTGTGGAATGATGTGAACATGTAACTACCATGAAGCGCCTATGCTAGGTAGTCACAGACCACGCCCATACGCAATTTAGCACAATGACGCTGCAAGTTATGGGTTATTCTTCTACCTTTAATGCACAACCCCACTTACTAAATGGTCATTTCTGGATTTCTTTATTACAGGGGGTTGGAATGCTATTATTAGTCCCAATAATCTATTTTTTTTTAGAAATTTCAATGATTTGTAGCAAGTGTGTGTGTTCTTGTATGTTCTTTGGTACTGCATTACCATACATTTATTTAGCACACATACCAAAGTCTTTGGAATATGATTTACTATATACAGTCAAAAAGTAATGGATAACTAGTAGTAGTTGAAAACTGGGAGAAAAATATGCAAATATCACCCCACTTGAAATATTACAATGGAAAGTCTTCTAGTCTTATTGAAACAATTTTTTTTTTTCACATACAGACTTTGGACCTATTATGACA